TGACCGTCATCGCCTGCCAACTGGGTACAGCTCGCCTCCCCTTTGTGTCCCCCCTAGTCACCCTCTGCCATGAGCAACATGGTGGTCGCCATCTTCATCTGCACCCCACACTCTCATCTTCCTTGTCCAGCTTATTCGCCAATCAAAACCTTTGCCACCTACAATTATGCCCATCCCTTCCCTGCCTCCCCCTCTGTCCATGCCCCCCCAGGGGCCCCTCCTCCACCCACTTTCGCCCCCACAGTCCATTCTCCCCAGAACAACCAGGGGTGCCTTAGGAGCAGGAAGCTGGTGGCCTCTCCCCAGAAGACAGTAAAGCCCCCGCCCATGGCTGATGGGCTCCTCCCTGCCCGCCTCTCTGCCCGGCTCCTACAGAGTTCTGTTCCTGCCAGATCGGTGCCAGCTCTGGCTGGGGGCCTCTGTGCCCGACGTCTGCTCGGCTCTCTTGCTCAGAACACTCTGCCCCCAGGCTACACCGCTCAGAGGGGTCCTGTTAGTGAGATGGCCTCCCCCATCAGAACTTTTCTTCCACTCCAGACCTCTGGGTGAATATATCAGACACCTCCATACCTGCCTCCACACTTCTTACCTCTCCTCTGTAGTTTCTGTTCGCCATGCAATCTGGTGAATTTCTCCAGGTTTGTCTTCTGCTTCATCAACTTTCCCCTCAGCAGCACCTAATCTGCTACTGTAACCCATCCACTGGACCTTACCAACTCTCCTGTCTCAGGATACCCTGGTTATACTCCCCCCATCTGCAAGTACAGTGTTTCTGTGTGTAGTTGACCCATTCATATTCTCTGTCTGGGAGAATGGAAGCTCCACAAGGGTGAGAACTGTCCTCCGTTTTCTTTCCTGTGTTCTCGGGGTTTGAAACTGGCTCGATCATCATTTATTAAGTGAACAAATGAGCAAATATCTGAACCTCTGCACTCAGCCCTGTGACGGTTACTTGGATGTGCTGGCTGGGTAGCTCCTGAGGGAACTGGTAGCCTTCTATAGCAGTGAGTCAGCAGCAGTGGGTAAGGGGGTTGGAATACCAACAGATGGATCATTGATAGTGCTCTTAAGGTGAGTCCACACACACCTGATGCCGCTTGTGTACCAAGTGCCCACACCCCTGTTCCAGTCCTCCCGGAGCATCTCAGACATGCCCCGGGGGCTAGCAAACCGCCTTGCCATTCACACCATCTCCTGTGTACCTGCCCTTCGTCGGGAGGCTGCCTGGGCCCCTGGAGACCCCTGTTCCTCTCCCTGCAGGAGGCCTGCCTCCCTGGCCACTCCTGGAGGCCTGCTGTGCCTTCTGTCCAGGGAGTTTCTGTGCCTACCTCAGCAGGAGGGATCGGGCACACCGCTGTTCTGTCCAGCGCAGTGGATGTGACACACGCCACATGCAGGAGTTTCAGAGTCCTTCTGCCAGGAGCAGAGACTAGACAAGCACTGGTTCCAGTGAGGGCGGGCTCCTCAGCCTGGCTCCTGGAAGGAAGAGAAGGCCAGCAAAGCTGCAGGCTGGAGCAGGCAGAGGCCATGCAGCTGACAGGTGCCTGGGCCCTATAGGAGGCCCCAGCCACCTACCTGACAGTCTGAGCCCCCCCCCACCCCAGTTCAGTGCACTGGAGCATTCCAGCCTCCCCACGTGAGCACAGCAGAGGTTTGGCACCAGCATGCCCTCTGTTGCCAACTGTGCCCGTGAGCCTGGGGCTCTCCTGGTGGGAAGATGCATGCCCGGTTCCTGGACCGAGGGGAGCCCGGCAGTCCTCACACCCACAGGGAACTCTCTTGCCAGCAGGGGCCACACCTGCCTGGTGTCTCATCATGTCCCCACACCTGGGGTGTATAATCCTAAGTCAGGCTGAATAGATGAATGAGTTTCCAAAGAGCCAGAGGTCCACACTGCCCAACTAGAAATGCCAGAGCCCCGACCTGCAGGCAGAGGGGCTCCCAGTGATTGGGGGGGGCCCATAAAAGGGGCTTTGAGCCTAACCTCCTCCCACCTTCAACACAGCGGGAGTCCCTTGCACCAGTTGGAAACCTGAGGCTTTAATTCATTTAAAAAAATGGCAGCAGGCCAGGAAAGGTCTGGCCAGACTGTCAGGTCCTCAGGAAAGGTCGTGATGAAGCCCTTCTGGGGCTCCAGGGTTCTGGACAACCCCTCCTCCGGGATTCCTCCCCAACCACACCCAGCCGCCCCAGTTGTCCAGAGACGTTCCTCTTGAACTTAGTTCCTGCTTTAAAGAAACAACCGTCAGAAAGCAGATGTGCTCCCAACATTTGGGGTGTGTGTGTGTGTGTGTGTGTGTGTGTGTGTGTGTGTGTGTGAGTGACACCACGCCAGGCTTCCATGGAGGGGCGTCCTCTCCGCTCTCAAGGGCACTCATCCTGGGATATTCCACAAGCGGAAGATGAACATAGACTCATTTTCAACTATAGAGAATGACAATGCAAATAACAGATTCTGGCCAAAAACATAACTTTGATCACCATTGTAGAAAATCTGGAAAACACGGAGGGCCACAATCTCATCCCCACTAATACTTCGGTGTTCACATAGTACCACTTTAAAAAACAGAACAGACAGCGTCACGGGTAGAGTGCAGGGGGTGGGGTGGGGGGTGTGCTGTCTCTGCCTCCCTGACTTGGAGAAGTATTTAAGAATTTCCACCGTGGGGGCGCCTGGGTGGCTCAGTCGCTGGGCGTCTGCCTTCGGCTCAGGTCATGATCTCAGGGTCCTGGGCTCGAGCCCCGCATCGGGCTCCCTGCGCAGCGGGGAGTCTGCGTCTCCCTCTCCCTCTGCCTCTCCCCACTGCTCCTACTCTCTCTCTCTCTGTCTCAAATGAATAAATAAAAAAAAAAAATTCTTAAAAAATTTCCACCGTGATGGTCACCCGGGGTGGCTTTGGGGCCGACTGTGGGACACACACCTGGGCACCTCCCCTTAGCAGCTGCATAACGTGTGTGCCTCAGGTTCTTCAGCGGTCAAGGGGGAATGCAGACAGGAGTGTCAGGTCCAGGAAGGGCTCGCGATGCCAGCTGCTACACAGGAGGTGCCCAGCTCTCCCAGAACGGGCGCTGGTGTCAAGCCTCCATGTGCTTGGCGTGGTCACCCATGTTTCCTCACATGGCCCCCCGTCGTACTCCTTGCCTGGGCACGCTGCTGGCACACACAGACGTGGAGTGTCAGGCAGCCCATCCAGCCGACTGCCCCGCAGCGCTGTGCGCCGAACGCTGAGGTCAATGGCTGTCTGTCTTCTGCCCCACCACCAAAGGCAGCCTGTCCTCACAAGGACTGCTGCGTGCTCCCTGAGCACCGTCCTGTCCCCCTGCCCCCACCTCATAGGTAGGAGACCCCCAGGCGCTCTGTCTGGCGAGGCCAGCTGTCTGTGACCATACTCAGTCAGCTGGCTGAGGACACACAGGCCCTCGAGGCTTCGAGGCTTCGGCCGTGCCACCCCACAGGGGCGGGAACAAGTGGGAAACACAGGTCCTCTTGTTCTCTCCCGAGTGTGGCCTGGCTGTTTGTAGCTGCAGATAGGGGGCTGCAGCCGGAGGTCTGGCTCTCACAGGGAGGGAGGGGCATGGGGTCCCCTGCCGGACACAGCGGCACCCTGGATGGGAAGAAAGAGGGTTTGCTTGGACTGGGCTTGTTTCATGAAAACTACTTGTAGACAACAAAACACAGACAGGGACAGAAAGAGAAGCAACTGTGTAAGAGTGTGGATACAAAGAAACAGAAGGGATGCCAGAAAAGCTTTGCTACATCCCAGGGCAGCATCTGGTGACTGACCAGAACCAAAAGGATGGGGCAGGACACTCCTCCTTGGTCCCCAAATCTAGATGGCCTTTCTTGGGACCTTTCCCCACCTTCGCTGCCCCACGGGCCCAGGGGGTCGCCCTGGTCACGGCCTCCCACCAGCCTGGGTCCCCAAGTGCCCCGCGAGCCCCAGGGTCAGGAGCCGCCCCTGCCCCGGACATTGTTCTCCATTGTCTCCTGTCAAGAGCGCACAGGGGCACTGCTGGGTAGTAAGGGGGCTCGGGCGGGGAGGGAGCTCTGCCAAGCGGACCAGCCGGCCTAGGATCAGCTCCATACGGGCCAGTCGCAGCGCCCCAGCGCCCCCGAAGGCAGGACCCCCGGCGGGCTAGGCTCACTGCACGCCCCAGCCGGAGTCCGCCAGGGCCCTGCGGGGGGCGAGGGATACCGGAGGCCCGCGGGGTCGGCGCGGGGGCGCACGGAGAGTTCGCGGGGTCGGGGAGCCTCCAGCGGACAGGAGGGGCGCGGGGCCCGGTGCGCTAGGGCGTCGGTACTGGGGACCCCGGGGGCAGAGGCAGTGTGCGGGGGGGGGGGGTGGGGACGCGCGGAGGCCCCGGGGTCGGTGCGTGGGGACACGGGGCACGCCGGGCGACAATGAGTGCCCCTGGGAGGCGCCGCGGACACGCGAGTGCGCGGGGCCGGGGTGCTGGGCGGGTGCGGGCGGCCGGGGACGCGGGAGCGCGTGCGGCGCGCGGACCCCGGGGAGAGGGGGAGTGGGGAGGGTGTGTGTGTGTTTGTGGGGGGGTGTCCCACCCGGCGGCTCCCGGGGGGTGGGGCGGGCGGGGCCCGTGCGCAGGCGCGGGGGCGCGCTCCCGCGGGCCGCGGGCCGGGTCGCCTCGCCGGTCGGCGGCAGGGAGCGCGCGCGTCCCCGCACTTCCGGCGAGCGCTCCGCCGGCCGTGGTTGGGCTCGAGGCGGCGAGCGCGCGCCCGCCCAGCCAATCGGCGGCGGCGGCGGGGTGGGGGCGGGGCGCGGGGCGGGGGCGCGCGGCGCGGGGCGGGGCGGGGCGCGCGGCGCGCGGCGCGGGGCGGGGCGGCCGCAGCCTGGTTGCCGCCCGCGGGCCTGTCCGCCGCCCGCCCGGCCGTCCCCGCCGCCGGCAGCCATGTGACCGCGCCGCCGCCCTCCGCGCGCCCGGCCCGCCCGCCCGCCCGCCCGCCGCGCGTCCGCGGCCCGGCCGCAGCCCAGGCCGCCGAGGGAGCGGCGGGGCCGGCGCCATGGCCGAGCGGGGCCGCCTGGGCCTGGCCGGCGCGCCCGCCGCGCTCAACACGCCCGTGCCCATGAACCTGTTCGCCACCTGGGAGGTGGACGGCTCCAGCCCCAGCTGCGTGCCCAGGTACGCCGCCGCCCGGCCGCTTTGTTCCCGCGCGCACCTGCCGGACACCCGGGACCGTCCGCCGGGGTCTGTCCATCCGGGCCCTGCGCACCGCGCCGTCCCCACCCGGGACTGTCCGCCTGGCACCGTCCACTAGGGACCTGCGCCCGGGATCCCCGCCCGGCACTGTCCATCCGGGACCTGCGCCCCGGGCCGTCCCCACCCGGGACTCCACCCGGGACCTCGTGCTCGGGGGAGGGGGGCAGCGGGGACAGTGCAGCGGGGCAGTCCCCCGGGACCTCGCACCCGGGGCTCCCACCCGGGTCGGTCCACCCAGGACCCGCACACAGGACCCTCTGCCCAGGGTCGCCCACCACGGGCCTCGCGTTTGCGCCCCCCACTCCGGCTTGCGCATTCTGTGACGCGTGGAGGGCCTCTGAGGTCCTGGCACCGCCGGGAGGGAGTGGCGCGGGTTTCTCCGGTCCCGCGGTCTTCGAGGCTCAGGCAGCTCACCTGGTTCCGCTCCCTGGCCGCTTCATTGCACCTGTCCACTGATGCGGTGCTGGTGGAGTTGACTCAGGTGTCTCCTCTCTCCACTGCTGTCAGATTTCCTTTTGCGGCCAGCCACCCTGTCAAGCCTGAGCGTCCTGGGAGTGACCCGCAGGGCCCGCAGTGTCCAGAGAACACCTAAAGTTGGGACCATGATTGTACTCTTTCATCCAGCACACGGCTCTTTACTTCTGGTCTGGGGGCCTGCTCTGTCCTGCTGCCCTTTACCTGTTCATGCTGTTGGTGAGCAGGGCTCTTTGCATCAGCTGTCAATTTCGCCATGGCAAAAAACCTCCCTCTCACTTGGTGGGGAAGCGCCTGGACCCCCGTGGCAACAGCTGGTCGAGGTCTAGCCCACAGGCCAGTGCTGTAGCCAGATCAACTCCATTCGGACTGGCAGCTTCCCTGTTTTTCTTGCCAGCTTGGAGCTCTCTTGGTTTCTTCCTGACTCAGTGGTCCCCGATGATGCAGCTCTCAGGCTGAGGGGGGAGAGACAGACTCACACCAGGGTCTATTGTGGAATGGACACCAGGCCTCAAGGGCTGCAGGGAAGAGTGCTCCCTGGGGAGACCTCCTGGTGAGGACCTCAGGATTGCCATCCCGGCACAGGGAGTGGGTGGTGAACTGCTGGGGCGGGGGGGCCACACACGCAGCCACAGCTCATCCTACAGGTGTTGTGGATGGATTCCAGTCTGTGGGGTTTGCCCTCCAGGAGTTGAGGGCTGGGAGGTCAGAGCATTGGCTGTGCCAGCTGGAGAGGGTGGGCCCTCAACACACCTGCCAGATCTGTATGGGGCCTCCTGTGTGACCTGAGGGTCAGCGTTAGCCAGGGTTTGGGGCCAAGGACTCCAGATCCACCTGCTTGCGTCTTCTCTGGGAAGTCTCTGGGCCTCGCAGCCAAGGTCAGGAGTGTCTCCCCAGGCCCAGCCTGCTCACCCTTTCCCATCTTGGGCAATTGCCTTAGCGTGGAGCCCCACAGCCAGGGTCATTGTGGACTCCCCCCAACCCCCAACCCAGTGCTTCTGTCTGTCCCCCTATGGATTGTCACCACCACCACCACCACCCAGTGGACCTCTTGTGCTGGCTGCCTTCTGTCACTGCCCCCCAAACCCACGCTTCTGCTCCTCCTTACCCGCAAACCCACGCCTGTCTCCCTCCTTGCCTCCTCTTATCACTGCCCCCCAAACCCACGCCTGTCCCCCTCCTTGCCTCCTCTTATCACTGCCCCCCAAACCCACGCCTGTCCCCCTCCTTGCCTCCTCTTGTCACTGCCCCCCAAACTCACGCCTGTCCCCTTCCTTTCCCCAAACCCACGCCTGTCCCCCTCCTTCCCCCAAACCGACGCCTGTGCCCCTCCTTCCCCCCAAATCCATGCCTGTCCCCTCCTTGCCTCCTGCTGTCACTGCCCCCCAAACCTACGCCTGTGCCCCTCCTTTCCCCAAACCCACGCCTGTGCCCCTCCTTCCCCCAAACTGACGCCTGTGCCCCTCCTTCCCCCCAAATCCATGCCTGTCCCCTCCTTGCCTCCTGTCACTGCCCCCCAAACCTACGCCTGTGCCCCTCCTTTCCCCAAACCCACGCCTGTCACCCTCCTTCCCCCAAACCGACGCCTGTGCCCCTCCTTCCTCCCAAATCCATGCCTGTCCCCTCATTGCCTCCTGCTGTCACTGCCCCCCAAACCCACGCCTGTCCCCCTCCTTCCCCCAAACCGACGCCTGTCCCCCTCCTTCCCCCCAGACCCACGCCTGTCCCCCTTCTTGCCTCCTTCGGTCACTGCCCCCTTGCTACTCCACGTGCCCCCAGACAGGGTGCAGGCCGTAGCCTGTCTTTGCTGCCCCTCCTCAGCAGCTTCCTGGAGCTCCCCCAAAAGACCACTGAAATTTAACTGGGGGTGGGGGGGGTTGCAGGAGATGCTGGGAGGGTTAGCAGCTCCTCTCCTGGAGCTGGCCTGGGAAGTCCACTCCTTGAGTGTGGGGGGAGGGTGTGAGGGGGGATGTGAGGGCTGGGCTGGACAGCACAGCTGTTGGGGGCTCAAGGGCTCCGCCTGGGTGGGGGAGGGGGGAGGGGGGAGGGGTGATGGCAGCTTGTGTCCCATGGCCACGAGTCGTTAGGCTAGGCCAGCAGTTGATGGGTTGAACGTGCAGAATGTCGGTTAGAGCAAACGCCCCCCTACTGTCCTGGTGAGCGGGGCCCCTCCCTGAGAGGTGGCGCTGGCCCACTGCCTGTATCTCCTGCGGGTGAGAGTCCTTGGACGGGCTGTTCTCGGTGTGCTCCTGGGCTTTCTGTAAAGGGGTCACACCCTCTCTGCTCCTTTGCATGTCTCGTTTTTGCCCAGTCTACGTTTCGGAGTGACGTCGCGCCAGTAGCTGTCACTGCCGCGTGGTGGTCCCTGCAAAATGATGGTGTGGGTCCCGCTGTCAGGGGACCTGTGGCTTGTTTCCAGGTGGCAGCCAGTTTCATCCGTGCTGCTGTCGGCATCCGAGTGCCGGGCCTCGCCGTGTGTGGCTGTGGGCGGCCAGGCCCGTTGTAAGCACATGCCCGTAGTAGGGTTTGGGGGTGTGTGCTCAGTGTTACTCCCAGGCGGCTTCATGGAGTGTGGTTGTGCCAGCTCCGGCCCCCACCGGCGGGGATGCGCGTCCCCAGTGCTCTGCATTCGTGCCAACACTTTGCCTGACTTAATTTTTGCCAGTCTGGTGGGTGTGAAATGGTATTGTGGTTTTCATTTGAATTTCTCTGATTACTAATGCAGGCCATTTGCACTTCCTTGTCAGCGAAATTGCAGGTCACTTCTTTGGCCAATTTTTCTTTCTCCTTCTCATTTTTAATTTTTCTCCCCGACTTGAGTCTGGGCATTTTCTTCAGGGGATGGTAATCCTTCCCCGGCTAGAAGTGATCAGTCTTCTTCCAACGAAGTGAATTTCTTGGCGGTCTGCAAGGTCTGAGCACCTGCCTCTGGCCTGGCTGGCTCGGCCCTCTGGTCGTGGTGGCCAGCTCTCTCCTCTTCCCAGGGGCTCCTGCCAGGTGTTGGGGCTGTAACTCGAGGGAGGCCTGACTCTGTGGGTTTCCCCGAGGAAACGCTACAGGCAGCACTCCTCCCCGGTCACCATCAGCAGCGGTGTCCGACCCTTCCCGGCCGCCTCCTAGGCGTGCCCCACCGCTGGGGTTGCCAGAGCGGCCTCCTGGGCCCCCACTCAGCAGGTTCTGGGTCCCTTTACACCCTTGAGCTTCCTACTATTTTTTCTTTCCTGTTGGGGGTTTTTCACCAATTTTTAGATGTGAGGCTGCTCATCCTTTCCCGTATGTATCATTCGGTCAAATCTTACTTCTGCGAACTCCTAGTTTGCATCCTTGGTGCGTTTGAGGGACCTGGTTGTGGTTTGGTTCACGTGGTGGAGGGATGTCCAGCTGCTGGTTTTGGTGGCGCTCTGTGCCTGCAGGCCGTCCGCTGCCCTAGGCCTTCCGCCTGGTGGCCTGGGCAGTGTGCAGCTCTTGGACTCACCCACGCCGAGTCCGCTTCCACAGCTCCTTCCTCCCGGTGCGCGGCGTCCCACTGCAGGAGTAAACCACACTTGGTGTAAACCCGCTGCTCTGGGTAGGTGGGTGGGTTGTTTGCAGTTCGAGGCTCTTGGGTTCAAAGCTGCTACGACCATTTGGGTGCAGGACTTTGGAAGTCATATGCTTTCACTTCTCTTCGGTAATAACCGGCCGCAGGGGAGGTGGGCGTGTGTCAGTTTTGGGAGGAACTGCCGTCTTCTGGAGTGGTGCCGTCACCGCGGCTCTGTAACATTTCATGCCGCGTCGTCTGACTTGCAGCCGTTCCAACAGCTGCATGACGGCTTCTCCTGAGACTTTATTCTGTGCTTGATGGGAGTGGATGTTGAATATAACCAAACAAGTTTTTTTTTTTAAATTAAGAGCATCATGTGATTTTCCTTGACTTGCTGTTACCTTATATAACGTTACCTTACATAAATGGATTTTCTAGTATTAGACTAACCTTCCATCCTTTGGAAAAATTCTCGTCTGGTCATGCAGCATTACCCTTCTTGTTCATTGGTGGGTTTAGATGATTACGATCTAGGACTCCTGTGTGTATATGTAGGGTCTGTGATCTCACCGGATTTTGGCACCAAGATACCTGTAGGATGTGCTTCAGAGCGTGAACTCATCTGCTGTGCCATGGTCTCATTTATGCAGGACTGGAACTGTGTGTCCTCTGAATGTTTGGGGAAAGTCACCCATAAAGTAGCTTGGGGTTGCTTTGTAGGCAGCTCATCCTGGATTCAGTGTCTTTACCGGGCATAGGACCCCCCCCCCAAGTTGGTTTTTTAAAAAATATGTATTTCCGAGAATTTGTCCATTCTGTCCAGATTTTCAGGTTTATTGGCACAAAGTTGCTCATAATACTCTTTTATTTTTTAAATGACTGCAGGATCTGTAGAGCTGTCCCCTTCAATTCCTTCCATTGACTG